GTCTGAAGAGGACTTTATAGATTGGTATCAGACATATGGGCTTATAACGGACTTGTGGACTTGGTCTAGACTGGGCTGGGATATTTTCTCAATATTCAATTGTTCTTGTATATAACACTCTTTCCTATACACATGAGTGTCTATGAATTTGTTTCTCTAGTCTACCTGGACTAACACATTATGGTCCAAGCAATGGGGTACTAGAGAAACAAATCATAAAGATGGAGAGTGGATGCTTGACCTCTCCCTCAGTAGTTTTTCCTTGGCTACCCAGAGTTCAGATATGTCCTTGCAGTTTACTATGTATTGTTTTCTGGGGGGGAAAATGTGGGATGTTAAAGTTTTGATTATTTTGTTTGGTTTTTCGTCTTTGGTTATTCCTCTTTGAAATGGCGAAACTGAATGCAATTAATGTAATTTTTGAGTTCAGGGGATGAAATCATAGCTGTTCAGTGAAAATGATTGACAGAAGGTCAAAATGGCTGACAGAAAGACTGGCTCTGGTTTGATATTGTCAGAGGCCTAATCCCATATTTTGTATCAATAGAATAGTTTAGATAAGGATTAAGATAAGCTAAATAAGGATTGAACTTGACTATATTAAGAATTGAGGTTAATATCTGACTCTACTTTGTTTATACTGATTTATGCTTATTGATATAAATATTTATAGAAATGATTATTGGGAAGTGTGAAATCGAGAGCTTATAAGCCCACTTGCCTTGAATCATTAAAATTTGATCTTTAAGTGGTTTTAGGACACCTGCAAAGAAGGTTCTGAAAAGATAAGCCCCACCCAGTGCTTTGGAGTACTCAGGATAGTTGCATTTCAAGAGACCTGCCTAGGGGATTGTTGACAGATTGAAGACAAAGGAACTCCTTGGATTTCTGAAGTTTGAACTAGTGATTTTTGTCAGAAGCTGGGAAAAATATGGAACTATGAAGAAAACTCCTCTGTAGGACTGAACATTAAAGGGAGCCTGTGGGCAAGCTGAAATGCTTGCTAGGTGTCCACCTGGATCCACTTGTTGAGTAGAAATGGGAGAAATGAAGCAATAAAGAGACTGTTGGATCTGGCACTGGCACACATAGACCTGGTTTACAGGAACTAGAAAAGATGAGAGTTGGTTGACTGGTCTGAAGTTCATGACCTAGCATAGGGAGTTGGGATTGAGAATTTGTGAAGGGATCCGTGGTCTAAAGGTGAGGTGACCAATGGATACCTTGTTGAGGTTAAGTGAGGCAACCCACATTGAGTTAACCAGAACCCAACCAAATGAAGAAAAGATATTTCAGCCTGTGAACTGGTGCATATGGCTGCTGACTTTATGGATGGCCCGCCCTGATCTGACTTTGCTTATGGATGCAGATTTCACAAGGCTCCAACTGGAATGAAGATTCTCCACATGAAAGAATCTGATTGTCTCCCCAGAGCACTGAGTTTATCTAAATGGGCAGTATAGAAATTGGATACCCAAAATGGGGCAGATAAAGGCATGAAGTAGTTGCCTTACAAACTTTGATAGGTGGGGGAATATATTCATGGGATTATAGGATTGAGGTATAGGTATAACAACTATAATTGTTAGGTATGGGATATTTTTGTTTTATTCACTTACAGAATGTTATGTTTAAATGAAGGTGGCACATAATTGAATTGTGTGCATGTTAGTTTTATCCTATTAGGTACAGATAAGATTTTTTTTATTGTTTGTTTGAAAATTATATATGGCTAAAGAGTTCATTATAATATTACTAGAGGTAAAATTGTTAAAATCTTAAACTAACAAATTTGATTTTAAAAGTAAAAGTGACCACCTAAAGAAAAACCACATTCTTTTGTTATGTTCCTAATTGAAAAAAAAAAAGTTGAACTTAACAGTTTGCACAATCTTTGTCAGTAATTTGTCATCAGAATTTCTTTCTTATTTCCTTATTTCTTAATTATTTATGCACTTCTCTCTTTTTCCTTTTAAGATGTGAATTTCTTTAGGATAGAAGTCTTAATCAGTAGAAGTTATCAGGAAATAATGGTGCTTTTTGTTGCTAATAACTTATAATCAGAATTACTGAAGTCTGTTTTTGATTTATCTTTGATTGTATACACTGTCCTCAGACTGTGATTCAATTAATGTGGAATATGTAGAAGATAAGAATCTGTGGTCTTATAAAGTGTCTGGTTTCTGGGGTTCTGATTAGCTTCATGTATAGTACTAGGAGGTTGGGTACCTGCCTGTGCATAATTAGCCCTAAACCTACTCATTGGCTCCACGGGTCACATCATTCAGCCATCTTGGAAATCCATAGTAAGAAGATTGTCTTATTTAAACTTTGTAGTAACACTATAGAGTAGATTTTGTTGAAAGATTTTGTTTGTACATGTTTGGTGCTTTGGTTTAAGTGTACAGAGTCATTCATCAAAACAAATGATATGCATTGTGTTTTGTGTTAATGCTTGCAATTTCTACAATATACAGTAACAGCATTCTTCACACTTTCTCCTTGTGTTTCCTGTTTGTCTTTCTGCCTTATCCCTTCTTATCTTCTGACCTTGTTTGGGGGCAAATGTCTTTTATGGTTGATCTAAGGATGTGTGTTTCTCCCTCGTGTCTGCTTTTTGACTCGAAAGGGATGAGTTCAGCTCCTGACTTAGAAGAGTTGAAATGAGACACAGAGAAGTTAAAACATTTAAGGTCTCACAAATCTGGTTTAAAATCCAGGCTGGTTGGCTTCCAAGTTTATATTCTCAGTCACTTTGCTATTGCTGTATCACCTCAATAAAATCTCAATGTGATTTTTATTCAAATTTCATACCTGTGAAGAAACTGAGGGTCCGGAAATTTAGTTTGCCCAAGGACACAACTAGTAAATGGTAGAAGCAGAATTTAAACTCCTAGTAGCTTTATTATTGAGCCCTTACTTGTAATGGTAACTGTTTTAATCCTATCAGTTTCTGTATGTAAATAATTGATTAGAGGTATGAAACTCACTTTATTACTCCTTAATGCCTGTTTTTCTAAAGTATATTGACATTTTTCCACCCCTTTAAAAATGAACTTTATAATTTTGCCACTCTATTCTAGAATCATGTGACATAGTAGAATTCATTTCAGTGAAATTATTTACAGATGGACAGAAGTAATATGTATTTAAGATAGTCTGCTGTCAAGGAGCTTGCTTTCTGGTTGAGAGACCTAAGTATATGGCCTTTGGCTTAGAGCAAGAAATGATATACCTTCTCCCTCAAGTCTTAAGTAGGTACTTTGAAACAGTTAAATTGCCTACAGAAAAAGGGATTTTACTTTGGTTGGGGAGGAAATACCGTGCACATGGAATATAGAATTTTTGTTACTATAGTTTTCATTTTCAGATATTTCACATAAAGCAATATTTTTTGTTCAGCCTTGTTTGAGCTGATTAACAGTTCTTTTGATTGTTAAAATATTTTCATGCTTTTCTTGTGGCTTAAAACCATTTTACATTTCCAAATGCAACTGTGAATTGTTAATATATTTTAGTACCTTGGTTTAGATACTTAGGGGTATAGACTCTCACAGATTAATAAAAACAAATATCAGATTTCTGACATTGTTACATTATCAATACAATGCTCTTTCCCCCTTCTAATAGTTTTATTATGTAAACTGGCTTAACACATGAGTTAAGAATAGTCTTAAAAATAACTTCTTGGAATATTAATGCAATAGATAGTATATTACTTTGTTATTAAACTTTTAAAAACCATCATAGATTATTTATCTTTTTAAAGTCACTATTAAAAGTTAGCAAAAATCTTGAGTGAGAATTTCTCTATATGTATATATGTATACACAAAGCATAATAGATTAAAAAGCAAGTGTGTTTGGAGTTTGTAATTTGCATGACTTTGAATAGCCCACAGTTTCTTAGTCTAATTTTTCCTCCATAATGAGGGAGATATTGGAGGGTATGGAACATCATAAATGTTAAAATATTTTAAAAGCTTATGTTTATTAATAAAAATTCCAGATGATGAACAAAAGAACACAGATGTAAAAGGGACAGTGGTATTTCCTGTACAATTTTTCTGTGGGAAAATACTCTTAAGCATTGGATACAGAGAAAGAGAAAAGAAAAAAACTGACTATAACATGGTTCTTTTTGACACTTTAAAACTCTGAAAAAATTATTTTAAGAGGAGATGGATTCTGTGTTTTATATCTTTTTAATATATCAATAATTCAATACTAAGAACTATTATAAACAGTTTTTTATAGCTGTTTAACATTTTTAAGGGTTTATTCAGTTTCTCAAGATGGGAGGATAAACTTAAATTTTTTCAGACAAAATGCAAGTGATCTGTGTAATTTCAGAGTTAGAATTTTTACATTATGAAAATTTTAATGTTTACTTTGGGATTTGTAATGATTGATTATCCTCAACTAATTAGAAATTATTAGAAAGTCATAAATGTCTTGTTTAAACCTATTAGTTTTGGAAATAACATAATGTTGGTTAAGGGGGAAAAACCTTTACTTGGGTTCAAAATTTTTATTTTCTAGTGAAGTATGCGTCTTCCTCTCAATTTTTTTCAGGGGTTCACTGCCAGTTCTTATTGTATTTGTCATGAAAGGGTTAAACATTTGCTGTACTGTAACACATGAAAGCCGTTAAGCTGTTTGGAATTGTTTACTTGCTAAAACCAGTGTTAGTCAGCAGAGACAGTATACCAGATTTCCTTGTGGCTTTTAGTGGAAAATGTTAAAGAGCGCACTCATTTTTCAGTTATAGAATTTTTTAGTTTGATCTGGATTAGTCACAGAACTGGCATGAGCCGTTTAATTGTGAAGGCTGTCCAAATGCACTATTTTTTTTCTTCTGTTAGAGGAAGTTACATCCTGAGCAGTCGCTCAGATCTCTGGTAAGTGTAACATGTGAGCATTACTAGGCATTTCATCCTGCGGGTCTGCAGTCTTTGCTCTTCTGACTTGCTCAGTTGGAATGCTTTGTGGAGCCGATCCTGAGGTTCTACAGATATTTTTAAAGGACGTACTCGCTTGGGGTGTTTTGCAAGATCATCTGAGGAACCGGAAAGCATCTGAAATTTACTAACATGGATAACTGAAGTGGTTTTCACAGTGGAAGGAAACTATTGGCACAGAGGCGATGATTGAATAAAGTACTTGGCTCAAAGATGCACAGTCGGCTAGTTTTTTCTCTGAATGAAGACTGTTTAATGGAAGCGGTAATCGTGTGGAGATAAAAGGAAACACTGGAGTGATTACTGTATTTATTTTCTTTTTGGAGCTGGCTCTCTCTTTTTTTAAAAAAAGAAAAGAAAAAACCTGAAGCTGTAATTTGAGCTCAAATGCTTTCTAATTCCTTCGTAGCCTGCTTGTTCTATTAGGATTCTCCTGTAACACCATTTCTGCCTGGTGCCTGTGCCCTTCTGTTGAAAGCAACGGACAACTGCCTGATGGAGAAAGAATGAACGTTCTGCCTTGCTTATGCTATCGATGGGAATAAAGCTGTCTGTGTTTCTTCTGTTTGGGAAGTCTGGATTAATCAAGCTGTATTCTAGTACCAAGAGTCCTATTGTCTCCTGTGGTCTGACTCATCGCATGTAAATGTACTGCAGCTTTGCTATTAATGCGGAGTGGGGTTCCCCCCTTTCTTTTCAAAACAGAAAGGCTTGTCAACCTCTACACTTCGTGTTCAGGATTTGTGCTGAGCTCTAGCTGTATTTTTTTTTCTGGATAGTATCTGCATTAAACCATTGAAGCTGAAGAAATGAAGATAGATTAGAAGTGGAAACAAAATAGTGAGATCTCCCTCTCACCCCTGCTATAGAAATCCAGCTTACTGGTAACTATATGACCTTGCAGGCAAGAGTGGGTCTCGCTGTTATCTTCTCTGTCTTAGCAGTTGTTTTTCATTTCATTCTACATCTTGTGGTGGTGTATCACCAGAAACAGTGACTTTTTTATGTGAGTAAATGTTCAGCAATATGACTATTTTGGCAGGGAAAGATATTTTTTAATGAGCTTTTGCTGGCCTCAGTTTTAGTTATTGACACATTCCTGTGAAATTTCTTTTCAGTATTGCAGTAACCCAGCAGAAAATATAACTGTTGTTTTTAGAAAGTTATATAGCTGTAATTTTAAACTTCACCGTTTTCCAGTGGTACCTAGTAGTAACTTAAAAAAAATAAAACAGCTGTATTGTTCACAGAGAATGTTTGCAAGCGTTTTACAGAAGAGGAGGAAAAACTACTTGTATTCTTCCAACTGTGACTTTTATCATATAGCTTTGATTTTAGTATTTTAAAAGAGCGAATGAGTCGAGTGTGTATTGTTGTTTTGGAGGAGATAGAAGATGAACCTCCTGCATTCATTTCTAAATTGCCACAGGAAAATAAATCTGTACATTCTCTACCTTCTGGAAATGTATTGGTAAGATATAAGAGTTTATATGTTTATATTCTATTGAACTATTGGGACATTTTAATGTTTAAGAATAAACTTAAATTATTTTCCAATACTTTCATTAAAAGTCTAAATTAAAGTAATATAAATACATAAGTATAATCTAAATAATTGTGTGTAGAATGTTCACATGATTTTTACTTTTTAAGATGCCTAGATTAACATTTCACACTTTTTTTTCAATCTTTTAAAAATTACTTTAAAAATTAAAAATTAGCAGCTATGACAACCACATTTCTGCTTTCATTGTGTAGTGTGGTTTTAGAAACTGCTGTAACAAGAATCAGAATTCTGCATATTTTAGAAAAGCTTGACAACTGCCAGCAGCACAGAGGCATGGTTTTTGCTATAATGGATTTTATGTATTTACATGCAAGGCTTTATATGAAAAAGATTGAACTTCATTTCACTTTATTTCTAATGCTGTTGTTACCTGACTTCTTCCTAGTATAATATGATACTTTATCAGAGAGGCCGTGTTGTAGATTAGGAAATTGTTATATTTAGACATGCACGTGTTTGTGTCTTCACGCCCTTCAGGTATAAGGGTTTTTGTTTTGTTTTCATTAACAGTAATTTCCAGCAACTGTCACATTTGCTCTCTTGAGATTTCTATCATCATACATAAAATGCTCTAACCTATGCAAGATATTTTGGTGCTCCAAACAGACTTTTCCATAGGGTCTTTCTTCATGAACTCCAGCATGGATAGCGAACAGTTTGCTTGATAAGTTGTATCCCTCAAATAAATACTAGGGTATCATACAAGTATTTGGAAGACTTTCTTTTTATCGTATGTATAAATAGAAGACTTCAACTTAATAAGAAATAAAATAAAATTGTGTTCACTATATTGCCTTATTTAGGTCAAAATGGTGTGACTTTTTTTATTCTTCATGTTGCTGTGTGCTTTCAAGTAGATTCTGCCTCCTAGTGACCCTACAGGGCAGAGTCAAATGCCCCTTGGCTTTTCAATGCGATAATCGCTATAGGAGAAGGTCCCCGGGTCTTCTCCTAAAAGGTGGCTGGTGGGTTTGAACCTCCAAACTTTCCATTTCAAGTAGCACCTGGATGTGTTGTGTCATCAAGGTGGTACCGAGCTCCCTCCTTAAGGCCTTCCTTTTTTTTTCAAGGCTAACTCCTAAACTTTGATGTGATTTGACTTCTTAAAAAATCTAGTTTATTTTAAAAAGCAATTCCTGGTTCTACAGGGAAGAAAGTATTTAGATTTAGAAGTTGTGTGGAAATACCTTTAGAATCACCCATGTGGTATGACTAATGTTTTTATCGCTCTCTTATATTTTAGCCATCACTGGTGCAAGCTATATTTAACGGAGATCCCGATGAAGTTCGTGCACTAATATTTAAGAAAGAAGATGTTAACTTTCAGGTAAAACAGTTCACTGATTCTAGCCTTTAAAATGACTTTTAAGCTCTTTTGTAGAATTATGACTTTTATTTAAAAGACATAACAATTCTGTAACAGTAGTTTTAAATGAGGGCAGCAGAGCCTCGAGGCTACAAGCCAGTGAGGGCCTTGTTCTCCTAACTTTTTACATTGAAATTTTCCACACACAAAATACTCTGAATATATATATATACTCTGTAGTTAGATTTAGCATTGATACTTTACCATTTTTATTTTCTCACTAATCACAAAGTTACACACACACAAGGAAGCTTCAAAAAATGTGGGAAAATGGAATTAAAAGGTAATGTTGGAAGCCCCTTTGTGCAAGGGTGTGTTTTCTTATTTTTCTGAACTCTATTTAGATGTAGGCATCATGATGCTTTTATTACTCAATACTTCAGTATACATATCAAATCAGGAGTCTTTGTAAACTTGAAATAAGATACCCATTAAGTTTATTAAATACCTAATTGGTAATGAGATCAGATTTACTTTCTCTAAGTAATCATGCTGAGCATTTGACAAATAATATTTTCATTAATTTTGCCTAATTGAGTCTTTAAAGAAAGAAGTTGGAATGGTATCCAAAATTAAAGATACAGTAGATTCAGTATTTAGGATCGACTTGCTGGACAGTTTTAGAAAAAGTGAAGATATGAATAATTTCTCTGCTTATATATTTTTCCAGTGACCTTAATATCTTTATCAAATTGAGGCTGAAAACACATAGTTTACTCTAAATTTTTTTTTTTTCATGTCTTACACTGACCGATGTCTCCCATCACCAACTTTTCTGTTGTCCATAAGTTCCTCCTTTCTCCCCCCACCTTCCCCTTACCTTCCTGGTATCGCTACTCTCATTTTTGGTCCTGAGGGGTTTACCTGTCATGGATTCCCTGTGTTTCCCCACCCTCCCTCACAAACCCTTGACATAATTTACTGTAAAAAGATCAAATTCATTAATGCATATATTTTTTTACTGAAAACATGCTCTGAATTATGAGTTAGGGAGAAAAGTTATATGATTCTTAACTTTTGGGTAGCTGCAGTGATGCTAAAACTGACTGAGAAATGACTTTAATTGTAAGAAAATACCTTGTGTGCTCATCTTGAGCTCTCCTCTTCCTATTATACTACTGGGACCACTTAATGTTTGATAGATATAAATTGTTTTTACCTTTTTTTAAATTTAGGTAAGCGAATAGATTTGAATCTTTAGCTTAATAAATGACTTTAGCATCAGATGATAATTAAAACGCATTCATTGCTTCTTTTTTTTCCCCTTTAAAATTTTTCTAAGGGAATTGTCTTTACCTTTATACTTGGAAAATAGATACTTAATCTCCCATTGATTTCGAAGAAAGTTCCTCACTTTAAACTTTACCTAATTTGGGTGCCCTCGAGGGTCTACTTTAGTACAGAAATTAGTCTTTATATTTGTACTTTGAAGTGGAGAAAAGCAGACTTTCTGTTTCATTTTTCAAAATAATTACTAACAAAATTCTTGGTGAAAAAATTTCTATTATAATCACATTTACAATGGCTAATGTGAATCTCATAACCAACTTTGCTCTTTTTCTGTTATATTAATAAAATTTTCCAAAATAAAAAAAGTTTCATTCAGAGTCATTATTTGGAGCAACAGTTTGCTGTACTGTGACATCTTTGGGAGCTGATGTGTATGTGTGACTAGTGTTATTAGTGCCTGACCCCCTAACTTAAATAGTGTGTAGCCTCTATTTTTCTAGTTATAATTTCTTTATTATGCTTTTAGTCTTCATTTTTAAAAAACATGTCCTGGAGTGTTCTGTAACTTTAATCAGAAGGCCCTTTTAAGGATGAGTCCTTGGTGGTTGTCTTCAATGATTTATGAATTTTGTGACATTTTTATGTTTGCTTTTAGGCCTTTTTTGTTGTGACTATTTCTTACTTGTTGAGTGGTAATTGTCAACATGTTAAGATTTGTTAAATATTACCTGTTCTAATTTAAGATGGCAAAGATTTTCAATTTTGTCCTCTGCTTAGAAAGTACTTGGTATATTTAGAGTTGGTGTGTGTGTATTAAAGTTTGCTGTTTTGGCATAAAATTTAGTGAATTTCAATAGGTAATATGAGGGAAGTTTTAAGGTTTATGGAGAAAAATAGAAAAGATAACTGGAATTTTAACAAATTTTTCTAAATTAGAGTTAGTTAAAACAAGTATTGTGAGTAACTCCTGACTTTTTGCAATGTTGCTTAATCTTAAATATTTTGAATATGCTTTAAAATTCTTAGAATAAGTGCAAGAGTTTAGATTTATTTCTCATTGTATTATTTTTTTTCATAATTTTTTATTTTTTAAACCATTTTATCGGGGGCTCTTAAAGCTCTTATCACAATCCATACAGCCATCCGTTGTGTCAAGCACCTTTGTGTATATGTTGCCATCTTCATTTTCAAAACATTTTCTTTCTACCTGAGCCCTTGGTATCAGCTCATTTTCCCTCTCCCCCACCTACCCTCATGAACGCTTGATAATTTATAAATTTTTTTTTAATGTCTTACACCAACCGCTGTCTCCCTTCACCCACTTTTCTGTTATCCGTTCCCCTGGGAGAGGGTTATTTTCTATCCTTGTGATCGGTTCCACCTTTCTCCCCTCCTCCTTCTCCTTCCCCTCCTGGTATCACTACTCTCATTATTGGTCCTTAGAGGTTTATCTGTTCTGCATTCTCTGTGTTGTGAGCTCTTATCTGTACCATTGTACATGCTCTGTTGGATTTGTAAAGTAAAATTGGGGTCATGATAGTGGAGGGTGGGGGGGAGCACTAAAGAGCTAAAGGAAAGTTGTATGTTTCATTGGTGTTATACTGCACCCTGACTGGTTCGTTTCTTCCTTATTATTTTAAATTAGCTTTAGTCAAATACTCAAGTTTTTAATATCGTAAACCACAGAAAATAGTATCCTTCTTAGTAACATCAGCAATAGATTTTTAACCAAAATCTCTTTAAAAACTTACGTTTCCATATTATTGACTATGAGAATCTTATGTTACAGAAGATAGGTAAAATGATTTCACCAGAAAATACTGGAGTTTTGTATCTGGAGACTTTGGGCCATAAGTACTGATTATCTGACTAAATAGAAGTCTATTGTTTAATTTTATTATTAAATTTTTGTGTAATAATTTAATCCTAAATCCTTAAAGTGGTGTAACAGAGAATGTATTTGCCTTGACAGAAAAGCCTGCATTTTACTTCCAAAAAATCAGACATTGGAAACACACATGAGATTGACAACCGTTGTCATTAGATGGAGTTGTTTCCAACTTAGAGCAGCCCTGTGTACTGTAGAACAAAATACTGCCTGGTGCCGCGCTGCCCTCACAGTTATTCTTATGTTTGAGCCATTGTTGCACCACTGTGTCAGTTCCTTTCGTTAAAGTCTTCCCCTTTCCATTGACCCTCTACTTCGCTGAGCATTATATCCAGTGTGTGTGAGATGAAGTCTTGCCATCTGAGCTTCTGAGGAACATACTGGCTGTATTTCTTTCAAGACAGATTTGTTTTCCTAGCAGTCCTGGGTATTTTCAATGATGGAATTGATAACATTGACAGCTGGTTATTGCTTAATAATTTAATCCAGAGTTAAGTGATTCTTGAGTTGGTTAAGACAGCAATGTCAGAAGTCTGGTTGAATATCTTCTCAAGAGAAAATGATGAATGCTTTATCGTGTACTCAGGACTACCACCAAAGACATTGCAAAGGGGACTCTCCATATGAATTTCCTTAAAAAAAAAAAATCTAGATGAAGCCAATTAGCATGCTCACTTCGATTGATGTAGTTCATCCCTTGGGGTAGGAATAGAGGCTTAACATCATGGAATGTATTGCACTTCTGTATTAGGATTTTCACAGGAAAGAAGATAGAGGAAATAGGTGGCTGTGTAGGAAACCTAACAGAGGAAGATTATTGGCTACCTAAACGCAATGAAAAATGAAATTTAGAAAAATAAAAGTCACCTGGAGTGGACAAAGCACTTTAAACCAAAAAAGTGAAACATGGTTCAGTGTGTATGTGTGTGTGCGTGCGCGCGCGCGCGCTTTAAGTGGAGTGGTATTCATACTAATGAACACTTCGATTGAATTAAGGACCTAGTTTCTCATACCTTCTTTCTGATTTAACGTGGACATATTCATTAAACTCTAGAATCACTCTTCTGTTGCTTTAAAATGTATTGGGTTTTTTTAATGACCTTCACATTCTTTCCTATTCCAAATTTAAGGTGCTATAAAAATTCTGAATGACCTGAACTGACCTGTATTTGCACAAAAAGCTCCATAGGATTTACTGGTATCTAAATACCATGCTTTAGAGCCCAGAAAATTAATCTGAATTAATTATAGAGCATTTTAGAGGATTGACTCTATAAGAATTATTTTCTACAAGCAGAAAATTCTTTTTCTATCCAAAGTGATAAGAATTGGTGTTAATTACAGAATTTTATTTCTGAAACACTATTATGCATATTTTAAAATGTCATTCATTTTAACTTACACAATAATCTTGTAATCTCAGTAGATTAAAACCCACTTGATAGATATTCAACCAAAACTTGAAAGGTTAACTATCTTGGGTATGCGTGAGTATAGCAGAATAAGAATTTAAAACTATATTAGACTGGTAATAATTGAGTAAACATGAAAGCCAGTAGAGACCAGACTAAAACTAAATTCACTGCCATTAAGTTGATACCAACTCATGAAGGAAATACTTGATTTACTGCCAAATTGAGCCATAAAGCAATAACGGTTCAACAGTGTCTTTTTCCCATAAAACTTATATCTGTATTCCCCCCCCTCCGCTCTCCCCTTCCTCATGAGCCCTTGATAATTTATAAATCGTTATTTTGTCATATCTTGCCCTGTCCGACTTCGACCTTCACCCTCTTTTCTGTTGTCCGTCCCCCAGGGAGGAGGTCACATGTAGATCCTTGTA